CTACATATTTCTTTTTACGGGCAGCTTCCTCACCTGCTTGAGGGGAGCGCTGGGGCGCTGAGGGGTCTTCTGCGCCTCTGGGTTGATCCCTGGGGCCCATTCGAGCTTGGTTCGGCGCCGTGTGGCGCTGGTTCCACATCTGGATTGCCAGCATTCGCACAGCTGACAGACCTGCCTGCTTTTGAATTTACATGGACATTCGCAGTTGATATTTGTTCATTATTTTTAAGCACTTCCCACAAAATTCCCTTTTCTAAGACGCCGTGCCTTTAGAATACAGTGCCAGAAACACACAACATGCAGAAGCCGGGGTCATGAAAAATACGCTGATAGAGCGTGCGTAGTTCAAATGTTTTGATGATCCAGAGGCAATATGGTCATCGAGGCGGTAAAATTTGAACAGCACAATTCTAAACTGCAATGCCTTGTACAGCAAGTCAACTTTCTTAGCTTCTCAGAATGTGAGATTTGAAAAATAGCGTGCGAGTATCATACAGTTTTCACGGCTAAAATCTTGAACAACCGCGCAAGAAACTGAAAAATTCTATAAGCCAAGGGTTCAATATATTGATCAGTACTAGAAAAATACGGGACCTAGCAGTGGTGCAAATAGGCGCTTACAGAATGTCGTCACGCAGAATTTGCTTTGCATAGCGCTTCCCGTTAAGAACAAAGGATTGTATGCTGGCGAGGGGCACCTTCCCAGCTTCTTCATTAAGCGTACGCTTTAAGAGCTTTGGACGCAACTAAATCGACGTGAGAGAAGAGCTCCGGTGTTCTGACTCTCTCGCTGTGGTGCCATCAACAGGAGCGACGCTTTGGAGCGTATTTTATCTGTCGAGAGCAGGGCGGCCAAAGACTGGCGATATTGTCGTGCGACTATAGGCGAGCGACATCACTGGCTGGGCTGGTTAACTGCAACTAGGCTCAGAGGCGCCGTCCCAGCATTAAAAGGATGCCGAAAAAGCGCCGATGGGCGCCGATGGTGGAGATATCGAAGGGCAAGAATGTTTTGGTCAGCTCCGGACACGGCAATGTCATCAGCAACGGAGCACCATCGGCAAAGTTGTACACAATTGAAGGCAAACGTGGCCATATGTACTTAAATAACGCCCGCTCCACTGAACGGGAATTGGTGGAGCTCTAACAGCCGACGCGTCCCCATAACCATTGCTTTTCGGCCATCTCACTCTTTGTGGAACTCGTTGCAGAGGAGGGTCGGCGGCACCGCAGCACTGCCTGCGTGTCCACGTCCCCCTGAATCTGCTTCAGCACTTCGTTGACGGCGGCGCACTCTCGCTCCGTGGCTCTGCTCTGCATCCACCTCGCGACTTCGTGCTCGTACGCCGGGCACTTGAAGACACTGGCAGGGGCGTCCGCCCCGATCGCCGGAGCTGTGCTCGGCTGCATCACTTGGCGGTCGACTCGTGATGTACGTTGCTGCAGTGGGCGCAAATGAGCCGCGACTGGGGCGGCAGGTGCTGCAAGCAAATGGGAGATAAGCAGAAGCCTCATTGGTTGTTGAGCGGGACAGGAAGTGGGGCGAAAACTGCACGATTTGATCCAATTCAAATCGGTCTGGACTACTGATTAACTGTTTTCAGCAGTTTAACGAGATTCACGCAGATCCAAATTATGAGTTGTTCACTTTTGCCGACCGTGGCTCCACAGCCGACAAGTTGCAGACATGGCCATTTTGCGCTGGAGTGAAGAGCGCTTCTGGAAAAGCCGTCGTCTGGCCCATGCTGTACTGCGGGCAAATCTCCAGGAGCGCTAAAAGCAGACGTTCCGGACATGCAGTGTGACACTGCCAGTGTCTACCCTTCTTCGGACGAGCTTGGGTCGCCCAAGCTGGGCGTGGTGAAGTACGTGGAATACAGAGAAACCGCTTTTGGACAAAAAGCTTCCGTTGTGTGCATGCCTGTGTTCACCTTCAAGCATCGAGCAGTTTCTCCCTGAAATGTTTTTGAAATTCTTTTCAGGATAATGTTCTAGTCGTTGACATTTGGAAATCACAATCAGGCGGTAAACTACAGAGCGATCGAGAGATGTTCCTTGACTTCTGAAGTAGTTTAGAATCACATATGCTCCTGCCGTGCTTCCTTCTTGTGGCTTTGAGGTGTGATTGAAGCGATTCGCCAACAGCGGATGTGTACCAACATGACATGGTGATCTAAATGGCACTGCCAGATCAAAGAAATCAGCTACGCATGGCTCGAATAAGAGGCACAAATTTCCAGTCCTTGTATTTTGCGGACACATGAGAGCAATTATCAACTCGACAATAATTCACCGCGCGGCGCCGAAATTGGAGGACCTCACCGGCAGACCGCACACATAAGACACCCAACAACACTTGGTACAGCTTAGTCAATTGAAAAGATATCGCACCATCATTGGGTGTGGTGAAGTGCAGGCGGAAGCAAAACACTCCCTCGAGAAAAATGATTTCTATCGCATGTCTTGATGCAAGGAGAGCAGATACAGATTTACAGTGGCTCCAAGAACAAGAAAGGCTATGTGCAATTTGTCCCCGCGACCGAGCCCTTCACGCTCATTTGTTATACGTCTCTCAACGTAACAATGTTTGAATGAAGGCTAGAAAATAATGCACAATGCTGGCGTGTTTGTCAGTACAAGATGTGCGACGAGCCCAGGCGAAAAAGTGCCAAGGAATTTCCAGCCCATGCGCTGAGTGACACCTCTGGGCACGTGTTGGTGACTGGGCCTTGGCCGCGTTGCTGCTCGTGTTGTGAGTTGCGAGGGGCTTGTACCGATGCAAGGGAACAGATTGTCGCCCCCCAATCGAATTAGGAGTGAAGCAAGCTTCCCGCTTTCTGTACAGGCGACTTAGTCAGTTGGGCAATTTGACTCCTGCAGTCCATGTATTGGCTTGGCTATGTTTTCTGGAATGTTCTAAACCCATATTTTGGCACCACGATGCGATCCCTATCATCGCACCATTGTCGCATGTGCCGACACCCATATCTCTTGTGCGCTGGTGCGCCGGCAGCCCCACGCGAGGTGCCAATGGATGGTCAGTGCCGCAATACGGTACCGTGCAATACTTTTGGCGGTGTGAGTGGACATGGGGGCAACTGACCCACGAGTGCTTCGCACGTAAGGCCATGGCCTCCAATGGTGCTGCGCGAGTCCAGTCATTTTTCTGACCAACTTTCCAACCCCATTCTTCTTGGAGCACCGTGCTCCATTTGTTCGGTCGTCCGTGACGGGTGACCGAACAAATGCCCTTGAGCAGACAAGCAAACGGGAGTGTGCCCCTCATCGGCTGGTGGGTACAAGGTTTGTGCTTTGGGTCGCGGCCTTAAATAAATGCAGCAATGATATGCAACAATACAACACTCAGTAGAGGACTCAGCACTTGGTTAACTAACTAGTTGTGCCTATAAGCAAAACGTTGTGCCAAGCCAGTGCCATAAGTTGGGACATCATCAGTTACAGGTCTTGCACTGGTAGTCCCAAATCTTAACACATCTCGCAGCAAGAGCCCACAACGCGCGCATTTGGCCACAAAGGGGATCAAACGCACCCACGCGGGCGGCGCGCTCCGCTGCTGTGTTCATTCCAGACCGTCGCCTCCCACCACCTACCTCCCCGAAACACCAGAAATAATATTACTGCCTGCACCAAATCGGTGACTGCTTGCACTAAATCACGTGCACACTATGTACTAACCTCAGTTTTAGGGCAAGTTTTAGGGTTAGGATTAGGGTTAGGGCAGGTTTGGTTTTAGGTTGTAGGGTTTAGGTTTTAGTTTAGGTAAGTTTGGAGGGAGTTGGTGCCAGCAGTCACCGATTTAGTGCGGAAAGTCACCGATTTGGTGCAGCCAGTAATTGTATGCCAAAACACCACGGGCCCCACAGACCGACACGCCGCCGCCTCAGACCGCCGCAATTTCTCGCCACCTTCCAACCCCATGAGCTCATACACCACCGGTATCATCATCGCTCAATCTGGCTGCGAGCCGGCACTGACCCCCCCCCTGGACCCATGCCCCCAACGTACTAGCTACTCACCAAAGTACTACTGGCCACGCCCCTGGCGATTCTGCCACCCAGAGCGCTGGGCGCGTCGTTGAGCGCCGTCCCGCCCGCCACAGCAGCGCAGAATTTCGGCGCCGGCTGCCGCCGCACAGCGTTTTCCAACCGGCAGGCACGGCGCCAGACCTGGGGACGATCGCATCGTCCGCTGGGGGCGGTGGGCCTCCGGTGGCGGCCCAGGCTGGCGTTGGCAGACAGCGGCGTGGCGCAAATCGTGATTCGAGGCGGAGATTGATTCTGGGGCGGGGGCGCCGTGCCCGCCACGGGCTGCGCCGCGCAACGCCAGCAGATGGCGAGACCGAGCTGAGGGGATCGGACCCCAGGTGAGAGGGATGGGCGGCGGGCGGAGGGGCATCCGCGGTCCAGGCGGCCCCGCACGGGCGGGGGAGGCGGGGGGCATTGGCCCAAATCTGGTGGCGTGGGAGGGGGCCGATCTGGGATCGATGCCGTTTTGGGCTGCAACAGGGAGGGGTGTTGTCGGTGGGGCGCGTTTTGGCCGCTCCGACCTGTTTGATTTGCCCCGATTTGAGGGGGGTGGAGGGCGATGGTCGCGTCTGCCACTGTTTTGGGCAGAGGGAGTGAGAGGCGGGGAGGTGGGCCGCGGATGGAGGCTCTGGAGGCGAACAGGTTGCGCTTGCTGCGAAATGCCTGCGGATGGCTGGTTGCGTTGGATTGAGGCGATCCAGTGCTGCGGCGGTGCGGTTAAGAACAGAGGGCTGGGAGCCTCCCCACCCCGGTTGGACGCAGGTTAGGTCCGCACTGCCGAGTCCGGCAGAGGGTTCCTGCGATGCTTCAAGGCGGCATGAAACGCATGGGAGGGAGCTCTTTGAGGGATGCGTGTTTAAGGGGCGCCCTGTGTGGCTATGTTCGCCAGGCGAGCGTGTGGCGAATCGGCGTCGCGAAGGGGCACAATCAACTGAGGGCATCGTCCGTAGGAGCATGCAGGTGCGGGGCGCGGGGCGGGCGGGGCCTGGTCCCCGCTCAGGGGCTGGGGGAAGAGAGGGGCGCCTATTTTTTTCCTTCAGTTTTTGGCGCCATAGGTGGTGCTGGCGAAGTATCGTTCGGCCCGCTTGGTAAGAGGGGTCTGCATGGCGGGGTCGAGCCCTAGCCAGCACGTCTGCGCCTCGATGCGCGGGATTGGGACGCTGATCCTGGCCATCGTCGCCGAGGTGCTGGATGGTGTGCGGCATTCCTTGTGTCCACCTCAGCAAGGAATTGCATTCGAAACAACGAGAAAGTAACAAAGAAAAACAGCGAAAGGCTGAAAATGAAGCAAGATTAGCAATCAATGTATCCACACACTGGTTATGAACACAGATGATCAAACAAAATCGTTGGCAGTCTAAACCAAGGCAGTGCTGAAGATTGTGCCCAATGGCTTTCTAATATTTGGACACTTTGTTCATGCAGGCCTGGGAAGCATACCTATCGACTGGTTCCCCCTCTAAATCCTTGGGGGAGCACAGTCTATATTCCCTATAGTTTTCTCGGGACATGGACCAATGAAGCCAGTTTGGCGAAAGGGCACACTTTATCATGTTTTAGCAATTGCAAAACCATGGATTTCCTCAATCCTTGGGTTGTGTCTGCCATCACAGCACAAAGCAGGACCCTGCACCTTGCAAGCGATGATGTGCACGTGCACCTTCAAAATGTTTGTTTGGCATTGTTCCCCATCTTGTCAACATTGGGTTACCTTTTGCAGAGCGAAGACTCAGGTTGTGCAATGACCACCCTCTCTTCCAGCCCAAGGTTGTGGGACTGAACTGAACAGTCACTCCCCACATGCCAATTGATGCCACACAGAAGTGTGGCCACTTCTTGCATTTAGATGCGTCAGAGCAACGAACACAAACATAGCTGCATAGGTGGCACCATGCATCCCCAAAGAGAATTGGTTGTTGCGTGCCACAGACAATGGTGCCAAATAAATGGTGCATCCCCTGATGAGCAACATTTGTGTAGTTCTTTGCGATTCTGCCACGTAGGAGACACACCTGTTGCAGGCGATGAACAACATGACACATTATTGTTTGTTGCAAAGCCTTGGGGTGCAAAGTGACAGTGCACGGCCTATGCATTTTGATGGTGATGGTACAGTTTTGTTCCATCGAAAACGACTGTTCCTGAGTGTTTGTTCAGCTCAGGCCATGCACTTCTGCAAAACAAGAATTGGCTGTGCCCAGCAGATGATTCCGCTGGGTTGGTTCCTGATGACTGCATGCATTGTCAAACTGTGGTTCTGTGGATTTTGGCCTTGTGTTTCCACTCGTGAGTTTTAGGCCCTATGTCAGTTTCAGCAAAGATGGATTGCATGAGACCGGCTTGTTCATTGGACGAACAACGATCGGGCTGTCAGGCAGGCAGCACTACTGTTCATAATATCCTTGATGCTCTGAAGGGCTTGACCATATTGACTGTGTGGTTTGGAACAGCCTGAACTACTGTGTGAGGGTTGATCAAGCCAGTGCATACATAGTGCATTGTGTGCACAGAGTATTTACAGGGCATTTGAGACGTTGATGTGCACTAGGGGAATATATTCTGTGGAGATTGCAAGAACCTGTTGTCCTCTTGTAGTAGCAAGGGGATTCAGCCATAGTGGCTGACTGAACGGCTTTCTGTGTTTCATGTGTGCAGAAGAAGAGTGGTGGTGAAGGAACTGGGAAAGGGGTGTTTTCAGTGGCACTAGCATTGGATGGCGCGTTGACTTGGGATGTGCCTCCTCCGGTTGAAGAAGATGGGATCATTATTGCCAAGACAAGCAGAGCCAACGACAGTGAGGAGACACTGAAGGAGAGCGGTGACACAAATCCCAAAGAGAATGGCGATGTTACGCCTGAGGAAGTGATCAAAGCAAGGCCTGTAGATTTTAGTCATGCATACGAGGGTTGCAGGTGAGCTGCAGCGGTTCGTTATTGAGGAGCCTGTTTGGATACCCATTCGGCCAGGGGCTGGATGCCTATGTATATAAATCTAAGCTCTAAGCTCTAAGTTTGGTTCTGAACTCAGGAGGTGAACTGAAATCAACATTGCTGGACCAAAGCTGGAAGCTTCCTGGACAAAAATCCTGCCTGAGAGGCATGAAGTGCCTGTTGCACCAGACCATGGTGCCTTGTGATCCTACAACAGGTTCAGGCACACCGACATACAATAGGCACACACTTAGAATTGTGCAAATGAGGCCCTGAATCACAGTTCATTTCAGGGCGTTTTCTAGCGACTTTGCGGCAGCTGCTTCACCAGCACTTTGTCTCTCAGCAATGACTTCGGTGGTAATATAGAGATCGGAATGCTGCTGTCCCTCAGCAAAGATTTCGGTGGTAATATAGACATCGGACTGCTGCTGTCTTGTATGCAAGTGCTGCACAATTAACCATTCGCGGGAACAGGGCATTGGGGGGAATCAAGTGAGGTGAGTGGTGTGCATGGAAGTACAGGGTGCTTTGGTGGGAACGTGATAACACAGGGAAAGGGGTTAAGAAGTCCCGACTCAATCCATTGACTGTTCAGGATATTCATCATTCGTACCATGTTGGCAACAACTTGACAGAGCGGCACTGTTGCACCATTGAGGGCATTTTGTGCCAGTGACTGTTGTCAGGTTGTGCGCATGGTGCTGTTCAGTGACCAGCATGTCCCAAGCACATAACTCCCACTCTCCACATCTCCATCCTTGTAGCGATGGCCACAATGCCAGCCAAAATTTTGGCAGGAAATGCTTTGGAACAAGTCAAAACAGCAAAAGAATGAACAACAAGGAAACGTTGTTGCTGCTATTGTTGAAATTTGGATCGCACGGATTGTAATCACCCAAAATTGTTGTGCCTCGTTTTCATGCAAGCCAACCTCCACATGGGCCCACAGCATCGACATCATCCCCAAATGGGGGCATTGTTTGTCCATGTGAGCCACGTGGAAGTGGAATGGCAAAACTCTCAAACGGCAGCACAGTGTGCAGCCAGAACCTTGCAGGGATTGTTAGAGGTGGAAGCACATGCCCATTCAAGGGGACCCCCACCCTAGAAAGTGTCTGCGTTTGTCATTTGGCTAAGGCAAGGCATTTCAGAAATCACCAAGTGTTGTTAAAGTAGCACACAGACGATGGTCAGAACAATGAGAATCTTATTCTGGGGAATCCTGGGGGAACGCCTGGGTATCTTCTTGCTTTGGGACATGACGCCACTTTGTGTTGTTTCGTTTTTGATTGGAATCGCGAACAGCGATCCTTGACAGTGCAAAATGGCAAGAAGGAAACCAAAGAGAGGGAAAGGAAAGGAAGGACCACCAAAGATAACTTGGTGCAAGAGCAGCGGCAACTCTTGAACGTCCACCAATAAACCAACCACAAGAATATGGAATTTATAAATTCTGTTGCTTATAAGCAACAGTAACAAGAAGCAAAGCTCCAATTTCAGCTTTCTGGGAGTTGAAATGAAATGCAGAAACCAACACAGAAAGCAAGTAAGATTTCACTCTGTGCTAAGTCCTCTCTCTGTGTGTCTGCTGCCAGGATAGCGCTGTCTGGTGCTTCCCGTGACCATTTGGTCAAGTTTGTGAAGCAGCTGCTGTGCGGACTGTGTGTGGAAGGCAGGGATGAGTGGCTGCCAGTGTTAGTGGACATCGCACTGAGTGCTGCACAGTGCCTAGACCTGTCTGCAGCCCGCACGACAGGGATCGTGGATCCAAGAGAATATGTCAAGGTGCACAGATGCGACCGCCTTGTTTGCAAAACATTCCTGAACCCTTGTTTCCATGTTACCCAAATGCTTTGTCTGCACTCAAAAAATTTCTCTGTCAACTTGCATTATACTGAATAGACTCACCAACGATGTTGGCCCAGTTGTGGTTGTGTACTGTAGGATATGTATATATGGAATGTATGTAGAATCTGTCCACATGGTTCTGGTGCATGTCTTGTGAGGGAGCATCCATCACGGTTATTGGCCTGGCTTGTGGTGGGGCACTGGGTTTGAAGCATGTTTGGGAACTTTTGTGTCTGTTGTTGCTCATGTTCTTCCAAAACGCCTCATCATTTCAAACAGGCCAGATGCCTGGTTATGTCCTAGCAGAAGAAATGCGGGCCGTACACAACCTCACAAGAAAGAGCAAGGCCCAGAAGATGGACCACATAAAGAATTAATCCACGCTTTTCAAGAGGAGGAGCTTGCCCCTCAAGGAAGGGCAGGGGGGAAGGGGAGAATTCAGCATTCATTCCAAATCGAAGTTGTTTGTTTGTTTGGTGGTGTTGCTGTTGTTGCTGTTCTTCAGGTTTTGCGTGCTATCAATGCTGGAAAGTGGGCGTCTCCATATTCTGCTGTTGGAAGACCAGCCCACAACAGGAACTCATCATAACCTGAAAGCACACTTGTGGGTATGAACAAGCCACAAAAACACTCGATTCGTCCAAGGGCAATCCATTTTCGCATGTGGGAAAAATTGTTGACAGCTGATTTATGACTGCTTTGTGGCCATCAGGTGGAGTGCGTGCCCGGCGTGAGTGAGCCCAAGGAGAGCCAGGTCATACATGGCATGGTGCTGCGGAAGAACAGGGCGCATCGCCGGATGCAGTCCAAGTTGCCCAATCCGCGGCTGCTGCTGTTGTCAGGTCCTCTGGAGTTTGAAACCTCAGCAACGACTTTGTTGCAGCTCAACTCAGCATATCTCAGCAGGGTGCGAAACGAAACATGACTTGATGCTGTTCCTCAGTTCAGCTTGGTGCAACTGGGTGTGAATGACAGCTGACAGAGCGCGCTGAATGTTGTAGCCTAAATTTTGGCAATTCTAGGTGGCATGTGAAATGTGATATGACAGAAGGAACATAACGATGTTCAAATCAATGTGGCTTTTTCATCTGCTGGGCATGTTATAAAGGAGGACAGGGCAAGGATAGTCCTTTCGCTTCTGAATTCCTTGCATGTGTGAAGGGTTCTCATGAGCATGAATTGCTTCATGAAGAGGTCCACACTGGCGTGTTTTCCTCGTGTGTCTCAACGAATATGCAGCTTGTCATAACTGGGATTTGATATGATGAAGCGATGGAAGCGGAGCTCAACACACAATCTTGTGCACAGCTTCTCCATTGGTGGTTAAGAATGCGTATCTGTGTTTTTCTGTTCGCTTCGAACTGTGTGGCACTTCAACAAATAGGGGATTCATGTCAATCACTGGAAGTTTTCAGATTGATTTTGTCACATAGGAGAATGCAAAGTTGTTGCACGTCAGCTACGATGTGTGCACTCAATCATCCACCACAATTCTTGCTCCCCTTCCAGCCATTTGTGCCCCAACCGGGAATCAAGAACCTGGGAAAAAGAACAAAACCCAAGGTTACCATGGGTCGCCTTTAGTTTTGGGAGATGGGCCATGGTTCTGTCTGTGTGGTTGCTGGGCAGCGGTTAGGGTCAGTGGATGGGATCATGGTGTTGGTGGACTTTGCTGGATTGGTCTACCCAACATGTAGACCTTTCAGTCATAGTTTTCGTCCCCGGTCCTTGGGTATCTAACCTGAAACGTGTTTTTTTGGGCTGGCAGAAGCTGCCTGTCCAAACATTCCTATGCCCCATATTGCTCTGTGACGAGCTGATGTTTCGGTTATGTGACACCTACTCGACTTGATGTTGCTTCATGCGGAATGTGGTGTATGCGGCCACTCCAGCCAGTGTTTGTGCGCCTCCTGCAGCACATCCAGGCAAGGGAGTGATGAGGCTGGGCTGTCTGCACAGGGTAAGGAGTACCTGGATGCTGTGGCCAGTAAGATTGTTTCTTGTCGGCCAGACGTGGTGCTTGTGGAGAAGAATGTGGCAAGGGCTGCCATCGAGAAGCTCAATGAGGAGGGCATCATACTTGTATACAACGTGCAACTACCCCAGCTGGAAATGTTGGCACAATGTACAGGAGCAGAGGTGCGTTCCCCAATTGCAGGTCCACAAAAGCATATTTCTAACATGCTGCTTCTGACGCTAAAAGGAAAGATGGAAGTCCACTGTTGAATGCACCCTATTGGGTGCACAAACAGGGAAACAAGAAGAAGGAAAGTGGAACGCAGTGGTAACCCCGCATCTTGAGCAGAAATCTGTGCTGTTCTTTGTTTTCTGTTGAGATTGGCACAGAACCAGCCTAGTAACATCCACCACCCTGGATGCTAAATGCACCAGCCATCAATTGGGCTGTTGCATGGGAATTACTGTGTTGCCAGTGACCATTTCAGGATGAGCAGAAATCTGCGGCCCCTTAGGAATATCTGGCTTGAGAGCACAATGTCCACCCCATACGGTTCAGAACCTGCCTTTCATTTCCTTTCATGTCCAAGCTGAAACTCACCATCGACGATTGAATCGTGTCTGTCATTGCCAGTGGAACTTTGCTGTTTTGTCACATTGTGCCAAATGTAGTTGAGCAAGTCGTCCAACACTGTTCCCTCCCACAGGTTGTAAATCTGAAATCCGTATCTGAGGTGAAGCAGAGCAGCATGGGGCGCTGTGAGGAGTTTGCTGTGATGGATGTGATACGCAAGCCCACTGTGGTGGGGGGCCGCATGAAACGGGCCGTCCTCCCCCCCCTCATGATCTTCAAAGGCTGCCAGGTGCACCCGAAATGATGCTCATTCAGGCTTGCTTACATAGGCGCTACAGCTTCATTTGTTGAAAGTGGTGATTCATTGTCCTCAGTTCCTAAGAAAGGCATTAAGGGCAGTTTTCTGCACACTTGTAGGATGCTTTTTCCTGGAGAATGTCGAGAATTTTTCTGGGAGCTCTTGTGGCACTGATTTCATCAAGCAGACTGTGTGAAAAGTTGGGGCATTTCAGAGTACTGCGCATTTGCTGGACCTTCAGTCCTGATTTTTTTGGCTTCCTTCATTCCAATTTAGTTGCCCAGTTTGCAACAGAACGCACAAATGGTCTTGAAGTACAAAAGGAAGCCAGAATCAGAAATATTGTGCGCCAGAACCCCTGATTGCCAGTGGTGGAGCTGGAAACTCCAGCAAGCCCTGCTGAGCGGGCCCAAGTAGCCCTGAGCTTTTCCAAAGTATGTGCATTCACGTCGCACATGCATTGGAGATCCCCTTGGATCTGGACGGCTCCTGTCCTTGCTTGTGGCAAAGCCCTCACCATCACTATGACAATCATTATCACAGCACATTCAATGTTTGAGTTGTGTTGTCCTGAGACTTGCTACAGATGAAAAGAATCTGTGTGCAGTGAGCTTTCTTTTGCTGTGGGATGACACTTTTCCAGAATACAGACCGCATGCAAAGAGTTTATATGTCATAGCCATCTCAATACAAGACAGGTGGTTTGGCAAGCATGCTCCTGAGCATCATTTCCAAGCACTGGAATGTGCACACCTCTCAAACTCGTCATTGTGCGTGTAACTGTTATGCGTAACGTAACATACGTAAACGTAATGTAACGTAACTGTTACTGTAATGTGTTGCGTACGCAATCTCGAGTGAAGACAATATACATTGTTGCTGTTTCACCAAACTGGCATTGGTGTTGTCCATCCTTTGAAGCCGTTGTTTCTGCATTGTGAATCTGTCAGGTGCCCTTGGTGTGCACGGCTGTGCTGTACGGCGATACGCCGGAGCAGCTGGACAAGCTGTCGCGGGTGGTGAAGCAATCCATCTTTGCAGCATACCACATGCGCCTTGAGTCGGCGTTCCTTGCTGATGAGCTGTCGGTCGCAAGCTCAGCGATGGCTGCTGTTGCAGAAGGTAGGAATCTGGGAAGACATGATAGGAGCAAAACCTTTGAATATGAATGTGAGAGAAAGGTAAAGACAACAAAGAATGACAAAGGAAAGAAAAATGCGATCAAAATTTGGTAGGGCAGTGCCCCAGGGTTTTCATGCGCCAGTTCCCTTCCCATGGATGCGTTTGATTTGGAGACTGATTTTGATAGAGAAGATTGATTGTGAAGCGAAGTTTTGGATGTGTCTCAATCGTACAAGATGCCACTTACCGCTTTGCACTTTCTTTCTTTAGTTTTGTATTCTTCGTATCTATTCTGCAGGCAGAGCGCTCCCAGGTGGCCTCAGCCCAAGGTGATGTGGGGCTGGCCTTGGATTTAAACGAAAATCAGTCAAAGTTGAACAATTGTGAATGAGGTTTGCTGAAATGGAGCAGTGCCAAACAAGTGTATTCAGCACACTCGGACATTGTCATAGAAACGAACCTGATGGCAATGCTGCATTGCAGGCTTCTCTGTGGATGTGGGATGGACCTCTGGCACAACATTTTCCATGACTTGGTGTGCACATCGGTTATCAACTGACAGACAGCCATTAGGGGCACTGCAAATGGCCCTCTACCCATCGTTGCCAGTCTCAATATCTACGTTTGATTGTTGATTGATGCAAAAAGCACGAAACAAAATCAGACATCGCTGATAGAACTTTGACAGACTTACAATTGAGAATGATATTGTGTCGAACAAGGCAAAGTACGAGACAAGCAATTGATGAATTGCAGGGTTCCCTGTCGATGCTGGGCTGGATCTGTGGCGTGACATCGGCCACGAGTTTGTGTGCAAGTCTGTGCAAGGCGTTGCAAAGTGGCGCTCCAGCAGACCCATTCATTCCCTATCGCCACATGTGTCCGGTTGGTGGGCGTCAGAGGCGCGGCACCACATCTCCCAATCGAAAGAATATGTCACGCCAGTGTTCATGGGCCGCAAGCGCGACCCAGCGGCAGAGGGAGAGGATGCATACGGGTGGGAAGATACTGATGATTCAGAAAACCCATGGGAAGATAATAGTGACTTTGTCTGTGACGCGAGGAGCGACGTGACAGAGGAGAAGAGAAGCGAGGTGGGTGAAAAGAATGAAGAAGTGGGTGATTGGAGGCCAAAGAGGAACGGGGTGATCTCGTTGTTTGGGCAGCCGGCGGGGGGTGCTTTGGGTAAGGCGCGGATGGGCAAGCGTAGCTTGTCAACTGGGTGCCTGAGGGGTTTGAAGTCTGGAGGTCAGGAAGAGGCAGTAAGCCCTGAGCACAGGCCTTCTGCGGAGAGTGCCGATGCTGATCGGTTGGCGATGTGCGATGGGGAGGAAATGAGGACACGCGAGCAGGTAGGCAGTTCTGGGGAGGTGTCGACGAGCGGGAGGGTGCGGAGTAAGGTGCTGCACGTGATGGAGGAGCCGCTGAGATTCACTTCTTCAATCGCCATCAGGTGAGCGTGAGTTTTGTGAATCGCTCCATCATGATGCAATAGGCAAAACTGAATTGGAGTCGCTTGGTGTTTGGAGTTGAGTTTGAAATGGTATTCCTTGCACTCGTGTGTGATGACAGGCAAGTCAAGCTCATAGCCGCCATCAAGGGAAGGGTGTTGTGGTTGTCAACGTTATTGTGTATCTGTGGACATCGGGCAGTGGCAATGCTTTGTTTGTGTTGATGCTCCATGTAGCTCTATGACATCACAAAAAACCCAAATCACACTTCGCATGACCAAGTTGCCGCATTCATTGCCAAGATGAACAGGACATACTTTTCTATTCCAAAGTAAAGCTTGCTGCAATGAGCAGCAGGTGTGTCTAACAGTCTGTGAGCGGAGCACAAACATTTTGTTGGATGTTGTGTTGTGCAAGGTGCAGGCCACATGAAATGTTGGGAATGTACAGTGAACAATCATGCATACCACTGACAAGGCCTCTGTGGTGGATTGGATGTTCTTTGGCCAACTTGATACACCTTGCACTGTGTGCAGGAATCATCGCCGGGGGTTGATGTGTGAGCCCCACCACCTGCACAGCATCGACTTTTATGACAGCGACAGTGACCGGTCGCTCTCCAGTTTCCTCATGTCCATCGCAGCTGACTCAGAGAAGCGCTGTCCACATGTGGGTCAATTCAAATGGCTTTGGATGTTTTGCCATATGTCTTCCTGCCACCCTTTTCTGTTCCCCCTATGCCTGTAATTTCGTGAACATGACAGGCACAACACCGATGACTATGATAGCAATAAAATTTAGGTTCTGTTGTTGCCTGGAATGCGCAACAGCAGCTCTTCCACCGCTCAGTGCAATCAAGAGGTCGACGACAAAAGAGAATAATGGTGTGAAGAACAGCGATGGAGATGTCCAGTTTTTGATCTGCAAGGTTCTTTGTAACGCAACAGAAAGCGTTTGACAACTTTGTATCCTTATCTGCTACTACAACAGGAGTGTTGCACCGTTTACAACATTGTTACAATGTTCCTGTCCCGTTGCAGTTCGTAAGCGCTGCGATTTTGCTGCTCCAAATTTTGCATTGTGTGCTGTGAGGGTGACAGCGTGCCTCTGTCGCAATGCCAGCAGGACTGTCATGGCGGCAACTCGTCCCATGTGCGCACCTTCCTGCATGGCGGCATGCGCATCACCATGTCGGTCGTGTCCTTGCCCCCAGACAAGGAGCTCCAAAATTCGGGACAACTCTGGTTCTGGGCCCGACCCAAGGGCTTGGGCAGGCAGCCTCTGGCCACAGTCCGCCGTGTCCTACTGTCCCCTGATGCGATGCGGGTGTCCTTTGGGGCGTTCCTGGACCTGTCGTGCAACTCCAATTTTCTGCAGGTTTTCGACCGACAGCTGCACCTGGAGTTTGTGCGGTATTTTGGGTATGGCCGGACAGTGGCATGCGTGTACCAGGACCGGTTCCAGCCGTACGAGCTGCACATCCCTCCGCGGGAGCTGTGCTACAGCAATGACAACCAGCTGATGTGGATGACTGAGTGTGGCAATGAGCTGATGCAGGTGTGCATTTGCATCATGTCTCCAACCATTTCAATTGCTGTAACTGCAAATGTGTCCAGCATTTCAGACTAGAGTCCGCAGTCATGGATTAAACGTACCTGGTGTTCTGGAATGCATTTTGCTCTTGAGCTTATTGGCGCCCTAGGGTTGTTCCTCGCAAAGGCAAGAATACAAGTGATCTGCTTGTGGTGGTGTGGATCCAAGGAAGCGAACGAGGCCTACACTGCAGTAGAGAAGGCCCTGCAGGTGTCGCAGGAGCAGGCAGGCGATGGGCATGCATCGCGTGAGAGCTATGTGCACAAAACGCTGGTGAGGGACATCCACCAGGAGCACACGGAATTCACAGAGAAGCTGAAGAGGATCATACGGCACGCAAGGAAAGGTGAGCAGATGTGGTTGGCCTTTGCACACTGTGTGCTGTTGTGGACTTCCTTGTCATTTCTTTTTATTCCAGTGTTGGAGTTTGTCTCTGAGCTTTCAAGTTTAAAAGCAAATTTGTTCTCAAGGTTCGAATCCCAGTTTTTCCTTGCAGATATGTTCGATGATGGGGCTGATCGGATCTGTTGGGCATACTCTGGTTGACGTTGGACTTGAGGAGTTTGGTTCCGCTGGACTGCTGGATCGTGTCTGAGCTGGATCTGATGTTGGCGCAGGCGGCGTGGACAAGCGCTCCAACCTGGTGAACTTCGACGAGGTGCTGCTGGACTGCGCCCTGGAGCTCAACGGCCTGCGCAAGGACCTCGCCGTGAACGTCCTGGCCTGGGCCAAGTTCATGTCAGACCCCACCCAACAGAACCCGCCAACCGTCAGCTCCAAGGCCTCCGACCTGGATGCCGACCTGCTGCCGCGCAGGCAGTCCGAGCCGCTCCCACAGACGCCCAAAGACCCGCCAGAGGCACCGCCGATTCACCGTGAGGGCACGGATCCGCCTCCAGATGCCGAATCGGTGGCAGGGGCGGGAGGTGATCGCCAGGACTCGGTTCGCAACGAAGATGGAGGCCCGGAGGCGATCGAGACTCGGAACAGCGGTGGGGAAGGGTCGGCGCGGGCTTCCACGCCGGAGGGGGAGTGCATGGTGGCGTCGCACAGGCTGGGCAGCGCCGACGGCCCCCTGGACAGCACCAGCGACCAACCGGTCGGCAGCGAGGCCTCGGAGCTCGGGGAGGATGAGGGCGGCTGGGTTCCACTGCGGTCCCCCTTCGCTGAGGCGCCCTTCCTGATCCGGCCCTTCTCGCCGGACGGCGTGGGGATCGACCGGGGCGAGGAGGAGGGAGGGGGGGCGAGTCGCCGGCGCGACCTGATGGCCACGCCCCCCGGCGAGTTGCGCCGCGTGGGCGCCATCCCCCCGATCGACACGGCCGGCTCGCGCAAGCTGCTGCACAAGAACTCCAGCGCCAGCAACCTGATCGACATCTTCAACTCGGAGGCGGAGAAGTTTCGGGCAGCGGGGGAGGCCATCGGGGAGTCGTCGTCCGCGGACGGCGGCGACGGCGGCGACGGGCCGCCCTCGCACCGCCGCTGCTCCTCCGATCCCTTCTCCCCGCGGGAGGAGCCGCTCGTGCACCAGCTCACCCGTCGGCTGGTGTCCGGATTCTCCTCCTCGGACTTGGCCAACGGCGTGGACGGCGACCTGAAGAGGAAGTCGGAGCCCGTGCCGGAGTTGGCGCGGCAGGTCCACCCCCTGGAGGTCAATGCCAACAACTCGACGCCCTTCCTGTCCAGGGCCAGGTCGCACAAGTCGTCGGAGCCCGGCATGGTGCCCCTCAGCGTGGGCCAGGTGTTCCTCAACGGCCGGTCGCTGATCACCGCCGGCCAGTGCACCTCCGGCGGCGACGAAGTCGTCATCCCGGTCTTCGACGACGAGCCGGGTTCCGTCATCGCCCACGTGCTGGCGTCGATCTCGTTTCAGAAAAAGCTGCAGCAGGAGGTCGCGGCCATGCAGGCCCTGCACTGGTCGGCGGGGGAGCGGGCGGAGCCCCGCCCTCACGAGCGCCGCAGTAGCTGGGACGGAAAACCCCCAGCGGAAGGGCCCCAGGGTACCGGGAGGCGGGCCAGCGACGGGGTCGCGAGGGTGCCGCGCAGCGACGCCGTGTACTGGCACCCGGCGCACATCACGCAGCGGTTCGAGGACGACGCGCTGGAGATGATGCCGCTCAGCAAGGCAAGGTTCGACGTGGTGGCGTACTTCGCGCCGCAGTTTGCCAAGCTGCGGAGCAGGTGCATCCCGGGCGGGGAGAAGTCGTTCATCATGAGCCTGTCGAGATGCAAATTGTGAGTGCGAGGCCGTCTGCCGTTGGAGACCTGTCTTGATTGCGTTTCATGTTGGCGCACACGCAGTTCTACGCAGCTGTTGTCAGTGTTGCACAGTCGGTAGCAGCACACCCAGTGTGTTTGTGAGAGGAGCTTTTTCTGCAGTACAGTTTGCTGTTGCAGAAGAGCATTGAGTGCAGGTAGGCTGCGGTTTTGCCTCTTGCTCTCCGTCCTGTTCTTTCCTGTGGTTTGAGTTGCTTTCCTTTACGGCCGATTGGCCCCATAATTTGTGGCCATTAAATTTGCAACACCTGGGGTGAACTGCAGGGGAAAATCAAGATGCCTTGGCGTATTAACTCGTGACACCTTTCACAAATATAATTCAGCATGGACAAAGGAGTTGTTGCCATTGACTTCTTAACTTAGTTTTTCTTTTCTTGCTGCCATTGGGGAGTTTCTGCAGGTGGGTGTACTGTTGTTGAAGAAGCATGCTGCTCTGTGAGCTGTGGGGAGTAGAGTCACGCCCGAGTGAGTGCTGGCTGGGCAAGCCATGGATGCTTTTGAGATTGATAACACTGCCATATGAATTGCATACCGTCATATGATGTTCACCGTTGGATGTGGATATGCAGGTGGAGGGCGCGGGGAGGCAAGACCAAGGCCTACTTTGGCCGCACCATGGATGAGCGTTATGTCATCAAGAGCATGTCTGCCATGGAGCGGGACTCGTTTCTGAGGCACCTGGCACCAAACTACCTGAAATACATCGACGATGCCATTGACGCTGGCCGGGATATCTGTCTGGCCAAGATACTGGGCATGTTTCAGGTTGGCTGATTTCCTTGGAATGGCGCATATGTGCGGCTGCTGTACTTTGCTACAGATGAGGTCTGATCGCTTTGCTGGTCTCGGTCTTGTCCTGTTGTGTATTGTTATGTGGTTGATGCATAGTGCAACGATTTGATGAGTACAACCGATGATGGATATGGCACATTGTGCATACAGCCGCATAGGTGGCTAAATTTCGTGGATTGACTATCAGCCACAAAAAGAACGTGACGGACAAATCCCTTGCTCTTTTCAACTGATGACAGACGCAGGATTGTCGAAGCGCTTTTTGTTCGAAATCAACATATCCCCATCCCGCAAGCCACCCGCTTGTATCGCATGAAAAGGAGGGCTCAAAACCCAAGAAAACTCAAGACCAGACCAGCCACAGAATGTAAGAAGGGTAATCAAGAAAATGGAAGATGTGCTGACCCAAAGGGGACCACCACCTGGGCATCCCTCTCACACCTCACGCTCTCACATCAGACTAGTCAATGGGGTGTCCAATGCAACCAGCCCTGTTGTTTTTGTTAATCAGTTTTGCAGGGGCATTATTTATTGCTTCCTATCCAGCTACCTATTGAACTGTGTGGGACGAGCACTGACTCTCCCATGGCAGCGGGAGAGCAGCCTACAATGCTGCCATTACAAACAACAGCGTGTCGAATCGGAATATTTGGGACAATCAGAAGGAAAGATATCGTATTTGCATGGCAATCCTATGCAATCGACATGCCAGGGAGGTTGACGACTGGCGTTGCCAGAGAATGTCAATGTTTGAAAATTTGCTCTCTAAAACTTGGGCCAACGGGGCCGTTTCCAAGTGCATCAGGGACCTGCCCACAGTGCTGACCGTTGGAAAAGTGGAAAGGATAGCTGGTGCGGCGTGCTGCAGGGTGCAGCCTACAGCTTTGCTCTAAAGTTCTGCGCCCATCAGGTGGCATGCAACGAACAGTGCAATTGTGGAACAACAGATTCAATTGAAGCATGATAACAATGTAGAAAATGGATTGTGCAGTGTCTGAATTTTGAGACATGATAAACTACAATACGGATCCAAACAAATGGAATGATGGTTAATGAGGCCTGATTGGCATTGAAGGACAATTATGCAGTAGAACCTGCACTCACATCGGTTGTTGCATTTTCAGGTGTCTCTGAAGTCACGGACAGAAGAGTGGGAGCGCACAGTGATCATCATGGAGAACGTATTCTACGACCGCACCTGCATACGCAAGTACGATCTCAAAGGCTCCAAGCGAGGGCGGGACAACCCCGAGGCTGAAAGGAGCTACAGCAGGTGATGCCGCTATCGTTGGTGAAATGGTGGCCCCAAAACATGTATGAGATAATGGAATGCGGCGCTGTTTCTGCACGAATTTCAACAAATTGACAGTGTCAGATAAGCATGTTCAAATGCAATCAGTACCTGGCTGAAGTGGGGAATTTTGCCAGCGATTTATGCTGACTCGTACCAATTTGTGGAAGAGGAGGTGGAAAGTGTCGCAAATGAATCTTGTCGGGATGGGCTGGTCCGGTATCTGACCTATGGGCTGTCATGGTGCACAGCGAGATGCATGCTCGCAAACTGTTGATGCACAAATGAAAGTTCAGCTTTGCGAAGCATGAATGGGTAACATTTTCTGTGAGTTTCGGCAGGCATTTGGCTACTGCCGTATGCTTTGCATAACACATTGAGTTCGAATAACAGTGTTTATTTCAATGTTGTGTCAACATCCTGATGATGTAATAGCCGTATTGGTATTAATGAGTGCCTGTGTTGCCTGATTCACTGATCAATTGAAACATCTGCTGGCGTGTGCAGTGTCCATGAATGTACGTACAGTACAAGCACACTCTCAGTGCCAGTGTTTTAGGTGGTACTGATTTGCTGCTGGTATTGGCACCATTACTATCCCCTGTGCAACCAACTTCAACTGCTGCCAATTTGGACAAGAAAGAGTCTCATCTTTTTCAAACATGCTAACAATTTCAAGAATGGCATCTGCTGCTGCAAGCCAATTTTTCAACTAAGAAGTATGGCATGCATGCCAGTGCATGGAGGCAGCCCTGGACCGCATCCGTTGCCCCACAGAATTGATGTCAACGAAACCCCATTGCTATCATCCACTGCTGCGCTGCTGGCACTGCCAGCGGTGCTCGTCACTTGATCACCTCCACCTTCAGTACGATTTTCTGACGATTTCGGCCTGTTCTACCCTGTGCAGGGGCGAGGAGGCCGTCTTTCTCGACAACGACCTCCGGCGCCACAACCTGCAGGCTCCCCCCCTGCTGGTCGACCAGCGCAACCTTGACTGCCTTCAGGACGCGCTGAACCGCGACACCAAGTTCCTTGCCGACCTGGCCATCATGGACTACTCACTCATCCTGGGCCTGGACAAGGAGCGCACCAAGCTCGTGGTGGGCATCATCGACTTTGTGCGGGAGTACACGCTGGACAAGAGGTTCGAGACTCTGATAAAGTCGAGTGGCATACTGGGCGAGGGGGGCAGCGAGCCGACCATCATCAGTCCGAATGCCTACCGCACTCGATTCGTCGAGGAAATTCGGAAGTACTTCACGGTGGTGCCGACGCATGACGACTGGGAGGCCGGGGCGCCCAGGCGGGGGGCCGAGGCGGCGGTGTGCGACGGTTGTTGACGGTGGGAGAGGCGTTGTGCGCGAATCGTGTACGGCGGGCGATGCTACGTGACGAGTGGGCGGCCGTTAATAGTGTTTGATTGCTTGCTTCAATCCATTGATTGAATCAAAAGGAAATCCGGTAAATCCGTTAATCTTGTTTGGTGGGCGACGGCTTGTCTTGGGCGGAGAGGCCGTGAATACTCGGAGCAGGGCGATGGTTGATGGCGAAGGGTGCGAGGAGGCTGAACTGGCGACGACAGTCGAAGGGTGGTGATGGGTGTGCTCCGGTGGCCGCTCTTTGTGTGCAGGGACCTTGATTCGGTGGCGACGGGCGACGGGTCGTGGCTCTTGCGCGGTCGGTTGTACGGACGGGGGGGGGGGGCTTGCAGCTGTTCTGGACCGCAGGGAAGGCCGATGAGGGTCGGTGGGCAGCGGTTCGCGGTGGCAAGGAAGGCTGCAAGCTGGTGGCCTCAGGTAACGGTTCGTGACCCGTGGGGACCTTGAACCTGCGGCGGCGGATAAAGGGTGAAGAGCTCGAAGCGCTGCGGCCCTGGATGGCTGGATGGGCGAACTGTGGCAGAGGGCTTGGCGACGTAAGGAGTTTTTGTGGGAAACACCTTCGAGGAGTTGCCTGTCGGACTGTTGAACTATTGCGGAAAGGGGGTGGAAACGACGGGGAAGCAGCGAAGAAGGAATGATGCATGAGATCGTCGGCGTTGGCGGTGGAGTGTCGATGGAATGGCCGTTTGGGCGACAAGATTGATTTTATTGTTTGATCAATGGAGGAGATCAGGGGTTTCTCGATTTGGACGGGAATCACATTCGTTTTCCAGTCGCACCCTGGCACGTGTAGTTTAGCCCGCACTCTCATGGAATGGCCTGTGCCCCCGTTTCCTCACGAGCAATAACGCCTGCTCATTGAAGGAAGCGCCGAGTGGCTTTGACCTGCCGGCCGGGTGCATTGAAGGTCTTATCGCGGGAAGTAGTTTAGTGCGAAGGGGTCCTAGGGTAAGTTTTGGAACACCCTCATAGGCAGGAATGCAGCTGGTTTAAATTTGGCAACACAGGGACTCCAGTACTTTGTCGTGTGCTAGGCTTGTCTAATACTGTGTTCTTTTGTGAAGCGGCAGGGGGCAGATTTAGGGCGCGCAGGTGGGAGCTGGGTTTGGCGTGCCCCTATTAGGAGCTGGTAGCGTTTGCTGGCGGCGTGTGGCAAAGGAAAATATATTCAGTGTCGCTGCTGCGGGTCTTCGTGCGAGGTGGGTGTAGACTGCGAATGGGGGCGAGGTACATGACTGGAGTGTAGGAAATGGGAATAATGCTCGGGAGGGATTACGCGGAGGGACGTGAAACGCGTGCAATCTGGGTTAGGTGCTTTTCTTTTCGGATGCGTCTCCCTCACGTGGTGTGGGATATGGCGTCGCTTATGGCGTGGCTGCATCCATGTTGCCATATTTTTAATCACGGAGAATCGGAAAATGTCCAAGCAAGTGCTGGAAATCTCAGCTGGCCGCTGCCCGCACCCAGCGCTGATGGAGCACAACACCGGCGGTCGTTCACTGGCGACCAACGGCGTCGTTCAGAACGCACACAAGAGCTGGCGTGCATTTAGCGTGACGTGCATTCAAAATGATTCGCCAGTCATCCTTCCTCTGTTATCCCCCATCGTTTCTCTGGCGATCCCCCACCCTATTCCCACCCCAAGACAAAATGTTAAGGCAGAAAAGCACCAGGGCTGGCAGCCGGATCCAGCCCTCGCGGACCCCCCCCCACTGAGCAACTTCTGGACCGTCGTCTACGCCAGCGCAAATGGACCACGAATGGAGAAATTAGCAACGAGCAAACGAGCGTTTTTGATGTGCGTATGCGGCTCGTCGTCTGCAGCATGCAAGGTCTCTTGCAAAGGCAAACGGCGTCGACGACGCCAGCTAAGACACTGGTATCATATCTGCTCGGTCACTCCAGTGCACCCTGTCGAAGTCCAGTCCATCCTGTCCAGGTTGCGCGGTCCTCACTGTCCTGTCTGGTGGCAAATGATGGCCGGCCCATCGCAACCCTAGGCAATTCCGATCAACTCCAGCCGCACGCCGCTGGGCTCGTAGAACATCATGTGCTTCACCGGCATGTTGGGCCCCAGGGGCTGGGGCGCGAACTCGATCTCCACGCCAGACGCCTTCACCCGCTCGTGCAGCTCGTCCAGTGCCTCGGGGTCCACCTTTGCGAGAAATGTCTCATGTCATTTAGTTCTGACGTCACCAGCAAAAGATCGCCCAATCAAATGACTATTAGTGTTACCATCACAAGATGTTTCAACCGTGAATCCTGATGGCAAGTCCTTGTGCCAAGTTGTGGAATGCAAACACAACAGTGTGTATGCAGGACCTCCAGCATTGGCAATCCTGCGCTTGGCACCCACAACGCGATGCGTACATGTGCCATGCACACTGCTCCACATCGCTCACTGCGGCTCTGGCGATACCAGAACCACATCCACTTGAACCAGGTATCCATCTGCAGTGCACAAATCTTTGGACTGCACTGGTCAGAAAGTGACAGCGCACTGTCCTTTCAGCTTCAAGAAACAATGGGCACATTCACAGGCTGCCACCGCTAGACTCCGCAAACTCCATGACAAGTCCGAAATCCAAACTAGCATCCGTTTGCAAACCGCTGAGCGCATTTCCTTCCCTAGGCATCCCGGGTGGGAGGGATGAGGTGGGTTGAGTTTGCAGGCTCACCTTGAATGCCAGGTGGTGCAGACCCACATTCTTCCGGCGGTTGAAGGGAGTGGCTTCGGCTGGCTCTTCCACGCTCCACAGGGTGATCATGTTGGCGCCGTCCGACACGAAGATCGATGGATAGTCGGGGTTCTCTTTCACAGTCTAGAAGAGTGCAGTCACATTGCTCACATCACTGGTGAAAATGTCCCAAAGCACCTTCTCTTCACCTTCCTTTATTAGTTACCTAATTGCTTTTTACTATTCACGGGCTCTTCAGCCTTGCGACGCCCACAAGCCACAGACCGCCAACGCGCGTGCAGCGCGCGACCCCCATCACGCGCAGGAGACCGCGTCGCACGCCCAACCCAAAGGGAAGCCGAGCCGCGCCAGCTTTATGAGCCAAGAAACAATGCGTCCAAATGCAGGGCCAATTGCTGACGTAATTTAATGCCTGATGGCTCACGGGACGCACAGGGTAAACAGGAAAAAAACGCTGCGCACAGCGTCACGCCCGCCTTCGGCCCCGCAGGCGCAAGGCCAGCCCCTCGCCTGGTTTGGACAACACACTGATTTAGAATCCAATGGGCCTACGTTGAAGCCAAGGACGTCCTTGAAGAATGCCGAGGTCTTCGCCAGGTCGCTGACCGCCAGGCCGACGTGGTGCACGCCGAGCGTGGCCGCAGGCGCCGATTCCGCCATCCCTTCCTCGGCTCGGACCCGCGACAACCTCCGCGCTGCAAGGAGATGCCCAACGGACGGCCCAACGGCTGCGAGCGCTCGCGGAACTGTCGAGTGGGCGGGCGGTGGGGCGGTGGCGCGGAGGCTCGTCGCGGCAGAGGCAGGGCGCATGTCTTGCTGACTGGCTCTGCCCTTTTTATGACTCTGCGTGAAGGATGGCGGCATGTTTCGGGAGAGGTGGAGGACACGTGTGAGGCACCACACCGGCGATGAGGTGAGGGTAGGGATGTCTGGCGTGGGTGGGTGGGTGGGGGGGCGGTAAGTACATTGGGCAGGCCGCAGTGGCCGACGGCGGAGTCCCGTGGAGGGACGGAACCGCTGCCGGACGGTGAGCGGGCGCTTTTGCATGTTGTGTGAGCGGGTGACGCAAGTTGTACGAGACGGTTTGGCCACGGCGTGGCGAGCCACTGAGCATTCATGAGGAAGTCTGGCGGACGCAGGGCTAATTCGCCCCAGGCCCATGACGTTTGATTTTGGTGATACCAACAGCAGCGGTACATGTGTGACGTTACCCAGCACACAGTGAGGCACGTTTACAAGTGCCAGAATAACACACTATCATGGGAGGTCTGCTGCGCGGGATGGCTCGAGAACGTCACCACGGCAAAAGTATGGGTGCCAATGCACGGAAGGAAACGGCGCAAGACTTCCTATTCAGCACACCCTTGCGCCGGCTGGAGATTCGCACAGAACCAGGAGCGTGACGTCGAAGTGTTGGGCGACCCGTGCTCGGGTGGCAACGGAAAACGGTGAAGCTTGCCGTACTAGTCTACTCCGAAGACTGCGCCTTATCGCCAGTGGCGACTACGTGTGAAGCAGTGCCATTGGCAGATTCAGAGCAGCTGGATCAGCGCCATTGCAACTTGGTGTTTCAGCCCCAACGGCAACAGCGCCACATTCAGCCCAAATGGCATCGGTAGATGCAGCAGCTGCTTGTGTGAGAGGTGTTGTGTGAGCCGCTCGTAGATATCAGCAGCAGCGGCAGAGCCAGTTGCAGTGCTGATCGGGGCGGCAAATGCACCACCAATGGCTTCGGCAAATGGGGTGCGATGGCTTCACAGCCGTTGGACGGACCCACGCTCGGCCAAGCTTCGTTGACGATGCACAGCCTTGGGCGATGGCCGACTCTGCGGCAAGAGCCACGACGTGTTCTGCGCCGACTCTTAGTTTCCGTGACAGCGAGTGTGGCTGATTTGTGGCAAATGGGGATGGCAGACAGACACAACGCCCTGCGAGTGTCTGGTTGCAGCGTCAGCGCCAGATATAGATGCAACTGTAGGACCAACAACGGATGCAATACCATTGACGAAAACAAATTCAAGGCCAGTTGGAGTGATAGACACAGCCCAAGTTGATGTGGGCGACGCATACGGAGCACCATTGGAGAGAGCAGAGGGCGGGTCGTCGACAGCACCAAGGGCCGATCTTCCCCCGGGGGCGATCCCGGCAGCAGGTGTCGATTGGTCTCCGCGGACGACCATGGGAATGCGAGCTATCCTGTCGGCCAGAGGCGGTAAGTCGCCAGGTAGTAGGCGGTCTCTAGGTGCTGACATGTGCGGACACAGATGTCGCGTGTGGCAACGTGTAGTATGCTGTATTTCATCAGGACATTCTGTGAGTTTCTCCTTTTCAGTCGATCTCTGATCTCCTTGTTTCGCTCCTTCTCCTGTGTTTCCCATATTTAGAATGCTGCTGTATCTGGTCTGTGTTTTCACAGGTGGGAAGAGTGCCGTACGATAAGAACTGAGTTGCCGGTTGTGAACAATGAGTCTGTTGTAGAATACGTTCTAGGCAGGCTGCCCAGCAGATGTAAGATGGATTAGAGAGTGGGCAATTCGGAAACGCATGGGCCCATGTGATTCACCAGGTTCTTTGGCATCGTGCAACTGAAGCGCCTAGCTGGGGCCCCGCCGAGGAAAGCACCACAATCTTGTGGGCGATGAGATGTCCCCTGCAAACTGGGTGCTAGGATACATAGTGAAATATTGAAATAAACTGTGCACTCATGCCAACAGAATCTTTTGGCAATCTTGTGAGCAAAGTGGAAGCTAGCTAAAAGCACGAGGTACTGAACTTTGCACCCATTTTGAACAAAACAGATATGGGCTCCACCAGGCAGTCCCTCCGATGGAATGCACAAAGCTCTGCCGAACGCGAGCTGCAGAGTTTCCAAATAGTTCTATTTGGAAATTCTTCAGCTCGTCTTCTGTACTAAATCCTTGCCTACGCAGGGGCACACGGCAAGGTCCACCAGATGTGGAACTTGTTGTTGAAAGAAAGGGCAGGGACCCTTAATCTGCAGTTACAAATGCATCGGGGTGTGGGGTAGGACTGAGCGTGTTAGATACGGAAAGATTTCTGGGTACCTTTGTTTGGGGTACTTGGGAAGCAAATACGTGTTGGGCTCCGCTGGCTTTTTACCGCCGTCGCAGTGCAGTGGCATTGCTGTGTCAGCTGTTGTTGACGACGATTCGCGGATAGTTTATGGTGCACTCAAACAGCGAACACATGTGTTCAATGCGCTGTTCATGCAGCGACTGGTTCTCTCTTGAGTGTGTTGCTGTCTGTGGACCTATGTACATTGTGTTCTTTCATGCTGCGGGGGCGGGGCTTTTGCCAATCATTGTGAGGTCAATGTAGACCGCTGGCATGGGGACGCTGTTTGGCTATTTCGAGTTCAGCAGAGACATGCGATATGACCAATGCGTCGAATTTTTCGCATTGCCTGTAAGCATGCTCAGTCATTCATGTTGCGACTTCAGAGCTGATGTCTTCCTGTTGTCCCTTTTCCTCTTAGATCGTGATTGGCCGAAAGACGAGATTGCCTTCTGTTGGCCATGAGAGCTATCAGCAGCACATTTACAGTGATGGTGCTCTGCACTCTGGTGAATTACGTCAGCTGCAAGTGGGCTCAGCACTGTAAACGGGCCTCGCTGCAGAGGTAGATCATTATCGCAGACAGGAGTTCTGGACGCCGCCCTTGCTCACCAGGCTCCTGCGACATGCCTTCTTTGCCCAGTTTCTCGGCCATTACTTCTTCAGTTCAAATTTTGCTGCACATGTGCAAGATCAGGCGCCACTCGAGAGGTGGGCAGAGTTGGTTGGCAATCGCCGCCAGTTTTGAAGTTTCCAGGCCAGCTGTGGCAGTTGCTTCCAAGCAAAAGTACAGAGCGCCAAGGGAGTTGTTTTGGAATGTTGCCAATCATCGTGCATCCACTTCCCCCTGGAAGATGTGCCACGTGCTCATTCCCAGGCTTTGGACTCCACAGCGCTCCATTGGGCACCACCCGTAACAGCTGGGTGTCCTGTGTTCAAAGAGTTGGGCATTTGCTGCACCTCTATCTATTTTAATACTGCACTGGCCTCCAATTGGCACTGCTGTGCACACCACATACATTTGACTTGTGCAACACACTCCACAAGTGCCAGTCGTCCTCCACATTCAAAGTGCACACAGCAGTTAACCCCAACGCCTGAACTACCCTCCCTGCGTCTTTTTTCTGCTCCAGAGCACAAGGCTCCCTGTCCTTCACCCAACCCAATCCGTTTGCAGAAACTTCTTGCCCTCCGCCCCACAATTGCCCCAGCGCGCAGCTCAGATGAGCGGGGCGGTGATTGCCCATTCGTCTGCATCATTCATAGTTCCTTGCCTGGGATGATGTTCCCTCCCATCTTGGGGCTCCGGACCCACCGCACCACGCTGCCATAATATGGGTTTGCTGCCCCATGATTCTCAAGGCATGCTTTGCAGGGAATGCATATTTCAGCCAGTCAACACCGGCCATGGACGCAGAAATAATTCGGCCCCAGCCTCCACAGCACCTTCAATCTTCACCAATCTTCATGTGCGCACAAGCTCTCTGACAAGACGATCACGCACAGGCCAATTCTCTCAGCCATCCCTCAGCTCAGCACCTCCCAATCGCCCTGCTCCGCGTCGCCGTCCGCCTCCACCTCCACCGCCCCCAGGCCCCCCCTCGCGCTGCCCGGCTCGCCGCTCGTGACCGTCACCAGCGGCGCCCCTTGAGCCCTTTCCTCCAACCCCTGTATCCGATCCACAAGATCTTCCATCTCCCCAGGCGTCCTGCAATAGAATCCAATCGCCAGTGATGGGTCTATGGCCCCGATCGGCATGTGCCTCAGCACCCGGCACTGGTAGCTGGACGCGTCCCCGGGGTTGGAGGCCACTGGCTGGACCTCGTGCGGGTCCAGGTATATCACCTCCTCCTCCTGGTGCCCCACGAAGTACAGCGAAGCGGAGGGCCTGCCGCCCACGATGCCCAAGCTCTGCGGCCAGGTCATCACCTCCTTGAGCTGCGGCAGGTACGCCGGGTTCACCTTGTTGACGCCCAGCATCAGCGCCACCAGGACCACCACACCCGCCCGCCCGCCTTCCTGCAGGCCGCCGCCGGGCGTCTCATCCCCTAAATCGCCCTTCACGCCCTTGCCCTCGCCCTTGCCCACCCCAGGCGGCTCTGATGCCTTTTTGTCCCCTTCCTGCCTCTCGGCCCCCTCAAACAGGGCGCAGTACTCCCCCAGCCGCTCTCTGTTGACGAACGGTGCGCCTCCACCCGGCTCTGAAACCAGCACCACTCGCAGCCCCAGTGGCCGCGAGGAGTTCACGATTTCCGCCAGCACGTTGCACAGCGCCCACGGACCCAACCACCGCCCGGCCACCACCCCATGCCTGCCCCCCTTCGCGCACAGCCCGTGCAGGCCCAGCGGGTGGCCCTCCCCAGGATGGTCCCAAAACAGGGCCGCGACTTCGGCCAGCTCGGACGGGCTCGACTGGCCCGGCTCCCACCGCCACTGCCTGCCCAGCGCGTGGCGGACGAGCGCCTGGGCCACGAGCATCTGGCCACTGCGCAGCGTGCAGCCCCAGCCCGCGTCCGTCGTCAGATCGCCGTCGCCGATCGCCGGAAAGCCGCTCCGGTAAGACATCCACAGTCTGGAGGCGAAATCGGCCAGCACGGCGTCGGCGACATCGCTCGGCAGCTCAGAGGAGGCTGCGTCGCCTTGGTAGGTCTCGCCCAGCAGTACCAGGGGGGCGCCGGAGAGCACCGTGGCGCCCTGTATGTAGTCCTGGAGCTTGCGCAGGCCCAGGGCCTTGGCCATGGAGTACAGCGAGTGCTTGACGGCGAACAGCACGCGCTCCCGCATGGCCTGGGCGGCCCCAGACTCTCTGGGGTGGGGGACGCGCACAGGTCAACAACTTCTGCGCCGCTGGCTACCTGGCCAGTCTGACGGGCGCCTCCTACCCCCTTCGGTCCTGATTTCTCTGCTGCGATTGTAAATTTGCGGTGTAGTTTGGGACATCTTTGCTGAAACCACCGGGTGGGACCACAGGCCCACCGGCATCGCCACAAGAAACAGGCACACCCATTTTGGGTATGGACGACGGTTTGCATTTGCCTCGTTTTGGGACTTGGTCGAGGAGGGGGTGTGTGGATGCGATTGTAATGAGCGAGCGCTTGTGAGCGGCAGTGCCCTGTGTGGTCGGCCGACATTTCGAGGGCGATCGGATTCTCAGCATCTCGGCCGACTCGGCAGGTTGTCTCTCAAGCTGAGAGCACGGTGCATGTCCCGGGGGCATTGTGCGCTTCAGGCAAGGCTCCATCGGGCTCCAGTGGCCAGGGCTGGACGGCCCCGCACTCTCGTCTGCTTGGCCCAACTCGCGTTCCGAGTTTCGCCGCCATGTTTGGAGCACAGCGAGTTTTGGCTACCTGGTAGGCTATTCCTGTCTATAATCTGCACAATCTGTCTCAACGATTGTCCGTCTGGCTGGTAGCCCACAACCTGTTGGCACTAAAGAGTATGCGATTTCAGCAAAAGGGCTGCACTGACTGGGTGCCTCAGTTGACATTCTCCGTGGGGATCCACACAAGGAATATCAGTTCAAAAGTTCAATACCAACAAATTTTACAACTGTGGATCTTGCTGTCGCACAAGCAACCCTGTCAATTGTGTTCGGATTAGCTTCCATTCTAAAACTACAACTTGCTATCCATCACCCATGGACACCAGGTGCAGATGCAGCTTATGTATCAGCTAGGTGCTGTCCATCAACACAACCCCTGCAATTTCGGGCGAGTAAACTACCCATTGCAGCCAAACACAACGCTGCACGCATCCATCATTTTGGGAATAAATATGTGCATAGCAGCCAAACACAAGGTCGCATCTGCGCACAACTTGCAGACCACCCACTGTGCTTAAGGCTGTGTGTGCAATCAATTTCATTGCGCAAATCAGCACTGCTTCGTGCCTCCACAGTGTTGACAAAACGCCCAGCGTTTTGCACCGACATGTTTCAGAGCTCCAGTTCTGCCACTCACAGCCATTCTACCCCAAGCTGTCAAAAAGAACGAGCATATTATGCATCGAGCTACCTCAGCTGGCAACAAGAAAAAATTCCTCGCCATCCAGACGCCAACAAGCACGCACGCTTGCCAAGAACGTCCTGGAGAGAAGGCATCACACTCGTGCGGTGTCGTCCTCGGGACTCACAGTTCCACAAGTGGAGGGTGGCCTAGGAACCCCTGGCCTCAGCCTCGGCATCGACGGCCCTTCATCCCCGCACTCTCCAATCTTCTCTAACGGCTGCCCTATCTTACCATCCTCCGATCCTCCCACAACAACATACGGCGACCGCTGTGTCCAGATCTTGGAAGCCATGTGCTCCAGCTTGTCTGCAGACTTGCTGCTCACCCCCAGCACGTCCGTTATGTGTCCCTTGTCGAACAGCTCCCGCATCGCGTTGCTGCCCCCTGGTAGGGCTTTGTAGCGATGAAACTGTGCCAGCGCCACGGCAGAGAGGGACTTTCTGTAACTGCCAAGTTTGTGTTGCGCCATGTTCATGTTTCCGATGAACGCCGACGACATCTTGAACTCCAGGAAGATGGGCGAGACGATCATGTCCCCCTGGGCATTGATGATCACCCGCTGGCCTGAGCGCTTGAACATCATCCAGAACTTGGGCACCCTGGGGACCGCGTCCAGGTCGTTTATTATGTGCCAGGTGTCAGGTACGGACTCGTTGTGCTCAGTGGCGAACCTGTGGTTGCCGACACGCGGACAGCCAAAGGTGTAGCAGGAGACCTCATGGCCAGCCACACCACAGTACCTCCTGATGTCATGGGCAGCCAGGACCGCCACTGCTCCCCCCAGCGAGTGGCCACTCACCAGCACCTTCAAATTCCCCCGGTCGAAGTGGCGGTCTGCCATGATCTCCTTGACCTTATTGATCACCCTATGCACGAAGCCCTCAGAATCCCATGACTGATAGAATCCCTTGTGGACCATGGGGCGTGTTCCCAGCATGGAATATCCCCGAATGGGTGGGTGCGGTGTGCGCCAAAATTTGAGGTCTGCCACCAGGTTTCTTGTGCTCTTGGTCCCCCGGAAACACACTAGTATGGTGCCACACTTGCTCCATGCGATCATAACATGTGCGTCCACCGTCTTTGCACTCATATACTCGCACTGCCACAGGCAGTACAGTGACAACCCTGTCTCGAGGTTGTAGGGGGCCTTGGCTTGCCTGGTCTTGGGGTCATACTGGTACATGAATTCGCACCAATATACCAGCTTAACAGCTGTCTCAAAGCAAAACAAGGGCTTGAAACCCGTCCCAGCCCTGTCCCTAACCTCTTGCTTGTACTGGTCAGCATACTTTTCCAGCCAGAAAGACACACAGGGCAGCGTTCTGATCGTCCTGTTGGAGCCCGGCTTAACGGGCAGCGTGAGAGCTGTGTTGACGGCCATGAACAGCGACAGTGCCAGCTCGAGGGGCACAAACCCCAGGATCGCAGTGACATAACCCAGGCAGGGGCTCGACTTGATGAACCACACGAAGGCGAAGGACAGCACCCCGAAGAAGAGGACCACGCCTACCAGGCGGAAGGTCAGCCTGGCGGACACATTGGCCCACCTGAACTGCACGTAACTCTTTTTCGCAAACAGCACGAATGCCCTGCGCATGTAAAACGCGAACATGACCAGGTACCCGATGGAAAGGGCCACTACGGCCGGCCCCAAGTGCTCCAGCCTCCCTCGATTGATGTCACACATTTCGGAGCCCCCCATGCATGATTGGCCCCCCATCTCCATCTTCAGACGGTACGTTAAGAAGCCGATGCACGTCTGAAAGGCCAGCCAGTAGACCCCCACGAACCAGTGGCTACTCCAGGGGGCGTCCAGATAGGTGCCGTCCTCCTGGGAGCCCAGCGGGTGGCCCAGCCTGTCCACCATCAAGTTGTAGGACCGCGCCTGGATGACGAACATCGCCAGCAGCGTGTTCCACGCCATGCACCGCGCGCAGGCGCCGTAAATAACCAAGTCGTCGTAGTAACCGCATTTCGCCACCAAGACGTACATGTTGGACACCACGAATGCCAGATTGCCCACGCAGACGGCCACCAGCTGCACGAGAAACACAGCAGTCCAGCGCACGCGCCGAGCCGACCAGCGCAGCCCGGCGGCCCTCAGCACCCACAGTCGTTTCAGAAACACGGCCAGGCACGCGCTCAAAATCATGACGTCGAACGCCCCCACCGCTGCGTTCAGCTCCACCACCAGCAGCGTCTCCTTCACGCCGTCGATCTCCCTCGACATGTTGATCGCCAGCAGGGCCAGAAGCAGCCCGCCCGCCGCCACCACCTCCACGTTGGTCACCCGGAACACGGCCTTCATGGCGTCATCGGACAACACCTCCAGCCTGGGAACGGCATCCGTCTCCGTGTTGCACGTGTCCGGCTCCTGCGCGCCCACCTGCGCGGCCAGGTCCCCAATTCCCTCCTCCCCCTTCCTCCCCTCCTCACCGAACATCTCATCCAACCCCAGCACCAATTTCATCGCCTTCTCAGACAGCCTGGCCAGTCGAGCCCTCTCCTCGGCGTCAACCGCGGCATCCCCGTGCTGGTCGACGGCCCTCCTGGGAAGGCTGCCCACCGCATCCGATTCTTCATTCCCTTGGGCGCTCCCTTGCATTTTAACTGCCACCACCATCCCACCAGGCCATGCACCCGGTCAGAGGGCGGCCACCGGCTGAGACGGCGCCATGTTTCGTCCTCCCGCAGGCCAAGTTGTGAGGCCAACGGGTCGGGCAGCCGGATATGCCGCAGTGAGCGCGCCATTCTCAGATTGCTCGAAGAGTCGCTGGGCACTCGCGCGGTCTTCTCAACCGACGGGACAGGGCGGGGCATTTTGGCGCCCTCCTCGACGTGGCCGGGCGGCGGGGGGGAAGTTACGTCGACGGACGTCGACATGTCCGGCGCCATGTGTCCACGTCAGGCGCATGAACGACTGAGGTGGTTGGGGGGGCGAGCCCAACGTTGCCGAGTGTTGGGATAAGGTAAGCGGTGCCACAACGGCATTCGGCAGCGGTCGGCGTCAGGATGGACCAATGTGGTCGAATTCGATGGACCACCACAACCAGTATTGCTGCAACCTGCGACCAGGGCAACACAGGGCACCGACGGCCACAGGCCCCAGCTGTCGCATTGCGCAGTGAGCAAGGAACGGCTGAGTGAAACAGGACACGGGTAGGTCCGCGTGACGCCGACGCCGTGGGCACCCACCGCCAAATACATCAGTCTTCGTGTTGCAAAATACGTAAATAGTTTTTCCCTAGTTGCCTACAAGCAAAGTTCGGAGGCGATGGCCACATCCTTGCCTTGGTACGCAATGCTGAGCTGAACTGGACTGAACTGGACTGAACTGGACTGAACTGGACTGAACTGAGCTGAACTGAGCTGAACTGAGCTGAACTGAGCTGGACTGAACTGGACTGAGCTGAGCTGAATTGTTTCGAAAGTCGTCGATGCCGACTGACTGGGTTACTTTGATGACCACCACCGGAAGTATCCAGAAACAAATGGCCACGAAAGGGGAGTACACCGTGGTGTGGGGGAGGCGCTGATGGGGTGCAGCCTGTTGCATCCATGTTTCTAAGCCCAGGGTTTGCCGTGGGGTAAAATACCAAAGGCGGGTAATACGCTTGTAGTTTTGGTAAAATTCGTAAGGAAAGGGCATAAGGCTTGAAGGGAACTCACGCGACCGAGTGGCGTTATATCAAACCAAGCCAAGCCAAAACCTTGTGGTCTTGGTGCGGACCACGAGCTAACTGGATGCCGCCAGTTGTTGCCAGGCATTATCAAGGT